TGTTACTTGCCCAAAAAGATTGTTTCGTTTAGGATTGGTTTTCTTTGACTGCGTTCCTGTTGATGTTCTTCATATCAAATCAAATCAAGTTTAGTGTCATTTTGCTGTACATACACAGTAGCACTGGCAAGATGAGAGAGCGTTTCTTCAGGATCATTTAATTCGTAAGTTTTGCGGAATGAATGTCTGGGATAGGCAAGGCGCGAAACGTTTACTCTCGCTGTCTCCTGAAGGGACCGGAGTGATGCTGTTTCAAACTGGTCTCAATATAGAGAGGCATGAAGCTCATTTAAACTATTTGCTTCTGCAAAACAACTTGGCACTGGGTTTTGTCACTTTTTTTCTCTCATTATCATGGTATTTGTGAGATTGCAGTAATTTCTTTGCATTAATTGTGATAATGCCAAGCTAAGGATAACGTCTTTTAACAACGATGTTAGTTTACAGGTTTGACGATGAGCATCCACTGTGTAGTATTTTTCCACTGAGCTGATAACGGATGCTATCAGAGTTAAGGACAGCATGCACAACTTTGCTGAACTTAACAAAGTTTAGACTTATGCTGCTGTAGCCAGTGTTAACATAGATGGCGCTACAACTGCTAAACTCAGTGGTTATTCCTCATCCTAAAACACTTTAAAAAAGGCACTGAAAATCTTTATGATCTAGTATAGTCAACTATGTAAAATGCTGACTTTTTTTCATCGGTTATGCAACTTTAATTTCAGTCTTTTAACATTATTTAAATGTCTAGATGATAAAATCAACAAGTTAGAAATGAGCTCATATCTCTACCTGTGTTGCAAATTATTTTTTAAAAAGGAATTCAAGCGGTAAATGTGGAAAATCTATATGCAAGAGAATAGTGATGTTTAACAGCCAGTCCTTCTGCAGAGGCCTGACACCAGATCTGAATAACTTAGTTACATTCTCCTTTATATCTATCCATCAATCCATTTTCTATACACCGCTTAATCCTCACTAGGGTCGTGGGAGGACTGGAGTCTATCCCAGCTGACTTAGGGTGAAGTCAGGGGACACCCTGGACAGGTCACCAGTCTATCACAGGGCTACACTTAGAGACAGACAACCAAGCACACTCACATTCACACCTACGGACAATTTAGAATCACCAATTAACCTCAACATGTTTTGGACTGTGTGGGAGGAAGCCGGAGAACCCAGAGAGAACCCACGCTGCACGGGGAGAACATGCAACCTCCACGCAGAAAGATCCAGGGTGTCGCGAACCGGCAACCTTCTTGCTGCGAGGTAACAGTGCTACCAACTGCACCACCTTGCAGCCTCCTTCATACCCTTTTAAAAATATATAATGTTATAAATAATCTTCATGCAGGATTATATAGAATTGCATCTTATTAAGGTATGCAGTGTGGACTGTGTCACATTGGTCAAAATAAAACTTTTTCTGCATGGGAAGAGTAAAGCATTACAATGGAATGATTTTAACTTTGATTTTTGATTTACTGGAGAATAACATCTGCCTCCATGCGCGAGTGATTTGCACGACTAGTTAATAGGAAGAATTTATCATAAATTAAACTTAAAAGATAAAAACTGGCACATGCAAAAGTGCACTGTGAAATTTATCTTTCCCGGCTGCGAGTTCCTCGTCAGCGCCACACAGACACGCTCATGAATACGTAAATATCAGCACACGAGCACAGAAAAAGATACTTCACAACCAAGACACACATGATCAGACAGAGCTACACAGATGGAGATCCAAGCAAGCATATTAGCAAACAGGATATTCTTGGACGTCTTGGCACAGACACACAGAAGCTTCTAATAAAATCTCAGACAGCACCCAGACACCACCTTCTGTTCCTACCATGTGGTCATGTGGTAAGTACTGCGCTTAAAACAGAGAGACTCATCCCTCTGCAGGCCGGCCAAGTGATTCTCTCACCTTGTGTCTCATGGGCTCACATGTGCTGCAGCAGTGACCCCGGAATAAAACCAGTCCATTAACACAACAGCCTTTTGTGCTGAAATCATCTACTTGTATCACAACAAACACTTTTTTTCCTCTCTTTTAATTAAAGGATATAATGCAAACTACACCAGTTAAAGCTCATTGTTTTTATAAATAACTTCTCACACAGTAATTACGGGTTTCAACATGCTGCTGAGGTGTTGATAGGAGGATTGAGCACTTCAGTATCACACTGCAGGTAGTCAGACAGGTATAAACCCTGGTGTTTATGTGTAAGCTACACTTGATTGATGTAGTTTGGATTTGCAGATTGAGAAGACCATCTGCATAAATCTCTAACACATCTGCTTTGCAGCCGAGTCTCACCAACTCTTCTGCTTGGACACGGTGAAAGAGCTCAGGTTACTTTGGTTGCACAAGCGCTATGAGGCTCGCACCTACAGACACATGTGAAAACACACACGGAGCAAATGAGTGTGTGAGCAAATGTGATCTGAAATAAGCAGATGCATAAAGCCAAACTATTTCTTTCTCAGGCTTTACGTGCATAACGTGAAACCGCCAGACACACATGCCTAAACACACACAAATGCTGGACCGGAGCCAAAAGCAATAAGTCTAAGTGCTTATGGTCGAGAAGATAGACGTCTGTTCGGAAGATCAAGTTGCACCGTGCTTATGCATGTGTGTGCGATTTAGGGAGAGAGAGGAAACTAGAAAATGCAGTACCAATAAGCGCCACATGGGGGCAACAGATTGAAGTACATTCATGTTGCTGAACTGAACTCCCTCTGAGGTGCTGGGATGAGCGCCAGAGCTCAAACACTGATGCTTTTCACTCTGTCCTTGTCTAAAGAAAATAGAAGTTCCAACTCGTATCAGAGAGAGAGAGAATTCTGAGCGAGGCATAACTCTAAAAATGTAAAAATAATGTCTTCTTTTTATGGTAGGCTGGTTGTATTATTTGTAATTTGAATCCTCATATTTATCATTTCAAGAAAAGTGAGACAGTTACTGTGGAGTCCCAAAAATGACAGCTTTCCCTACTAACATATCTGATTTGTGTTATATTGTGTTAAATGCTCTCATTTACCTCAATAAATCAATTACATTTTGTCAGTCCAAGCATATTTGATCATTATTCTATGTTTTACCCACACTTTATTTATATGCATTATCCCCATTTTCATCCTGTTTCCTCCAGATTATCTGACATTTATCATTTTTGTTGCTGCCAATAAGAACCATTTGATTGGTCTAAGTGTGTGTTTAATATCAGTGTTGGATAAAAATGGGAAAGAACTGTATTAATGGCAACAACAAAAATGATGCACTGATAGTTGTGCTGTCAGTGGTTTACAAAGAGAAATCTATTATAGAGAAACTTCATAAAGAAAATGTGACCGTGTAAAAAAAAAAAAGTCACTTCGGTGTTTTGGTTTTTCGTTCCTGGACGCTGTGATGTGGGATTAGCGTACGCGACACAATCTAGATTCTCATCAGTAGATGTCTGACAACCTGCTTCACACTCAGGAGTCTCAACAACTACATATCTCATGGGAGCTCCATTTCTTCTTTCTTTACCCCAAATATTCCCATTAAAATCTCTTAAATGGCTGAATGACTGTAAATCTCTGGTGGCTCACGGGCCAGAAATGGTCCTTGTGCAAATATTTTTCTTTCTCACCTCAGTCCACAAAACCCATCAATATAAACTGGAGGCAGCTAGAATCAAATTAATCTGCCATAAGTTAGATTTTTTTTCTGGTCATGTTTTCACTCACCTTGGGACCTGGATGTTGTTGTACGATCGTTGTCGGTCAGCTGATTGCTCACATTGTCTATTATGTGAAGTGTGCATGCGCCTGTGTGATTTCCACAGGGAGCTCCGGTTTCCTCCCACAAACCAAAGACACGGTGGACTGGAGACTCTAAACTGAATACGTTGTCTGTCTGTTTGTATATATAGATGCATATATGTGCTGTGAACGTATACAGTGCATCTTGTGATGGGCCTGTAACCTGTCCAGACTGTACCCTGACTCTTGGCCAGTGCATGCTGGGAACGCCTCCAGCCCGCAGAATCGTGCACAACGTAAGCGAATAAAGAAAAATCAATTGAAAACAGCACTTGGAACAAATACGTCACCCCACTGCTAATATATCTTATTATTTTTCTCAGTGCAGTTTCTGAAACATGAATCTGTAGCAAGACACTGACACTGATTTAATTTTGGAATGCTGTTTTAATTAAAGCCAAAGAAGTAAGCTAAGGCCCACCTATTCCTGCAAGACGAGTTTTTGCAGCCTCATGTAATTTTGTCGTCTCATGCCGAGCACATCAGAATGATGAATGTCCTCTGTGCTTTAATTTTTTTTGGATGCAGAAGAAGAGTCGAATCCACATTTACTCTTTGACAGGAGTACAGTTTCGATGGCGTGTAGTAACATCTGTAAAGTGACTTATTGTTGCCAGATGGTGAAAAAGAAACTGTGCTTTGTTCAAAGAAAGCAGATAACATGTGTGATAAAAGGAAAAATGATCGATGACTTTCAAAAGTGCCCATGAGGTTGAAATATGTTTAAAGCCAGACTTTTTTTTTCTATTTTTATATTGAAAATACAGTCATCAGCTGGTCAGATGTCTTATGAAATATATATTCAGGAGCATTTTTTTTTTTAATTAAAAAAAAATCCTCCTTATGTATGAATGTCCCTTTATACTAGAAACATTTGAATATGTTTGACTGAGCCAACTAAGGGAGTTTTATTGCACATTTCATGCATTTGCCAAGGTTTTCCCTCATTAATATGTCATTAGCACTTATATAATTTGAATTGTTGTTCTGTGCACATGTTGGTCAAAGTTTCTCACCTGTTTCTCAGAACATTTTGTGCCTGAGTCTCCTCTTGACCTTGTTCACCAGGAACCTGCTGCCCACATTGCTGTAGTTATTGCAGTACCATCCAGTGATCTGGAGCCCATTTATCCATTAACATCATCGGCAAAATTCTGGTCATTTCAACCATCAAAAACTGCTACTTTTTCCATTAGTATTTTTATTTTGTTCAGGACACCTTAGCTGGAGCCCCTGCTCCGGAAAAAAAGAGGAACACCTTTGTTGCTGATATATTAAGTCTGAGCTATGGTAAGTGCATGTGCCTTTAAGCAATGAGAGGTTTTTTATACAGCATTTATATACAGCGTCTATACATACAACATTCACACGAACATGGGTGCTGCGGGCATGCCAGTCTACATACACCCTGCAATGTTTCTTGAAAGAAATAAAGGGCAGGTAAACAATGAGAGAAATACATACACGCAGTAACAAGAGAATCCAGAAAGCACCAGGTTCAAGTTGAAAGGAAAAAAAAAAATTAAGAGCATGCATATAAATCTTTGGGAATGGCTTCTGTTTAAAACATATATGGTTTATTCTACATTTTTAGAAGCTATTTTCACCTTGCTTTTTTTTTTTTTTTAAATGGAAAACACACACTAGGAAAGGAGAAGGGGGATGGAATGTGAAGAAGAAAAAGTGTAAAAACACCCAGATTTAAAAACAACACTGAAGTAAGCACGAGAAATCACAATGTGATAGAAGTCACTGTAGCTTTTATCTCTACTTGAATTGAATACAATACAAATAGAAACTCGGAGTTCTTTCAAAGAGTGCAGCTTGGTAATGTTACACTCTGAATGCTATTCCTAGTACACAGGCAATATCTAGTACATTCTAGTATACCAGTTGTTAAAGGTATTGCAGAACACAAGTTAACCCCTTGCTGCCTGCTCTACAGGCCAGCGTTCCTTTAATTCATACAATGGCTAAAGTTGATCGAACTGGGATTTCTAACACTTTCCACTGAGTGACATTTGAGATCTTTTTGGTTTGGGTACACCTCTGAATTTCAGTTTTGAATGATATGCACGCGAATACGTTACAGCATGTATGTGAGAACATATTTGCAATGTTAATGCATACTGGTCCCATGACTGATGTGCTGTGTGTGTGTGTGTGAGAGCATCACTATAGAGCGTTTTGCTGCAAGCTGCTGCACCAACCGTGAAGCTAAATATTGAAAATGATATGTGGTGTTTGAGGTCCATGTCCACTAGAGTTGTGAAAGGAGTGCGTGGGTTAATCGTCGGTCGTAGGGGTGGCAGTGTTGGTGGATGGATGGGTGGGTGGGTGTGTGTGTGTGTGGGTGGGATCAGTGTTGTGGGGGCTGCTGGTTGAAACACACACTCTTACAAAACTTTCACACGCTCATTTACAAACACACGCTTCCTCGCAGAGGCGCTCGGGACGCTCTACTTCTTCCTGTAGTTGCCGAGCTGGATGGCGGAGCGGTCGAAGACGCAGCGGAAGGTGACCGGCTGGACTTCCCAGTAAGACACGGGGTTGCTGAACAGGCTGATGCCAGAGTACATGGCCTTCTTAGTGTTGAAGCCGGGAGGGCAGAAGTCCTCTGTTCCCACAGCAGCGATCTTGTTGGCATGGAGGTAGACCACCTAGAGAACGGATTAAAATAATGACAACATTCGGTCACTGCATGGCAATAATTTAGCTTCTGCAAAATAAAGCAGATAGAGATGATAATAACATGTCTCAAAATGAGTAATAGCTAGCTCAAGCATGTCAAACAGATTTATCTCTCCAGGTTGTTTAACTAAAAATAATGAGGAAAAAGGCTTCCTGCACGGAGCTGATGCTGCCGGAGCTTTTAGACGTGTAGGAAAAACAATAGCAGACGAACACAACATAAGCAATCGTGCGGCTAACTCTGTGTTTTGAGCAGAGCAGCCTTCGTCACGGAGAACTGAGGAGGATGAGAAAGCTCCTAGAAATAAGAACAAAAAGAAGAAAGTGCCACGAACTCGCTCGGGACAGACAATATAATGCTAATTACAGACAACAAAGCCACCAGATCCAAAAAACATCAGACTATACATGGAGAAAGGTCATAATGAACTACAGTCACCATATACAATGGGATACACAAATGAGGGCAGGCAAGGAACAAAAAGAAGAGAAGTATAAAAATATAGAAAGATCATAAAACACCTCATTAAATCGGTGTCTGTACAAAACAAGTGAAATAAAAACCCTTCAGAGCACCTGCTTTTAGTGAGAGGAGGTTTGACCTTTGAATACAACAGATTTTAAATTTGAAGTCTTAGTTTTTTTTATTTTAATTTTTCTAGTTTTCATATGAAACATCCCACATAGTAATCCTCTGAACCACAAGCAATTTCTGGGTGTTTTTTTTCTTTTGCTACCGTCACACTTTCATTCACTGTGGCCTCATTTTTCTCTGCAATATAAACTCAAAAGCACAACCATGGCTAGAAGCAGAGAGAACTCAAACATCTCTTTTGCACTGTAAAGTTCAGTTATAATGCTGTAAGTCATTTTAAAAGAAAAAATGAAAATTGTATTTGATTTTTATGCACGGAATTAACATTTTTAATTTGTTTCGCTACTTGCAATCTATCTACTTTGTGCAAACACAGCCTGCAGTTCAGCCGAGTCTAGCCAAAATGAAACCCTGAATTTTTCTTATGCTGACTATTAACCACAACTCAGTCAGTATTGGTTTAACATTTGAGTAATATTTGTCTTTTTTTGGTTTGCAGAATCTGGTAGAACAAGGTTTTGGTCAAATATCACCATTATAAGCTTAGATATGGTTATTTTTTTTCTCAAAGAACCCCTTGCTACATGTGATTTGATTAAGAACCACTGAAAAGCTAGAAATCAGATGGTTCTTTCTTTTTGGAATGTTTGTGACTCTGATAAATGGTGTCCTTTTGTCTATTTATTTATTCTATTTTTTTCAAGATGCTTTTAAAACAAACCCGTCGGTGGGTTTTGGGGTTCCCTGGGTTAAAGTGTTGGTTGTTCTATTCAGATGTTCCCACTTTCATATTCAAACTGTGTGTATTCTGATGCATCCAGTTTAGCGCAAATTGTCCGTAACAGCTTGTTGAGAGCTGCTTCTCCAAACTCTGCTTTTCTGGGTCTCTTCCTGTAATTTGGTTTCTTGTGGTGACTGAGAGCAGCCCCGTTCAAACTTGGGTGTTCACGAACTGACAGCAAAATGATGGATTATAGGTGCAAATTGTTGTGGTTTATTAGGAGCTACAGAAAATTACCTCAAAAACAAAGGCTTTATGGAGATCAGATTGATGCAGCAGTTAGTCCCTCTTGAGAAGCCAAACTAAAGTTAATGGTCTGGAATCAGGTAGGTTTACACCCCGCCCCCCCAATGCCAAAAACCTGCATCTACTGGACTATGATAGGCTACCAACATTCTGCTCAGTAAACAAACTAAATGAATCCATGTGACTTTTGTTATGGAAGTCTTGGACGACTTGTAATCAGGCAGCATGAACCTAAACAAGACTAATGCAAAAATGCAACAAGTAAACTTCTACAGTATGGCTTCGATCAGAGAAAATGAGCTGTGTGTGATCGCACCATGAGAAAATGAGTACCATAACTATACTGGCCATGAGAGTTTATTTGCTGGAACTAAATGGCTGCTATAACAGTCTTCCTGTGATCCTGTTGTGCGTTCTAACCTGGATCAATACCACCGTGATACACAAGCAGCTCTGTAAGTGTGATGGAACCGACACGTACCTGGATGTACTTGTGGTCTGGCAGGCCGGGAGGAACGCTGGTCAGGACGTTGTTGTCGAGGTGCAGCTCTCGCAGGTGGGGCACGTTGGCCAGTGTGCCGTTTTCCACAGCGCTGATGGCATTGTAGCTCAGACCGAGCCTGAGAAGGAAAACCAGCCGTGAGATGAGACACGTGTAGAGGAACACGGAGCACATTGCAGGAGTTACAAAACAAAGCCAGTGACATCAACGCATGCCTCCTGCTGCCAAAATCGTAAAATCATTGTCAGCTGATAAAAACGTCATAAAAAAGCAAGTTCCCACACCTGTCACCTTCCCACTCAGTTACTTAATTATGTGTGAATGGAAAGTAAACACCATCATATCCTCATCACCATTACTCCGGCTGCATCAACGCCCTCTTTGTTCTGGTTGGCATTCTATCTTTGGCTCCATCTGAGCAATGATCTTATAAACACTTAGTATTCAAATGTTTTAAACGGGCTGTTTTGAGCATCCAAAGACTATTGTTTAGGGTCTTATTTGTTTCTATACAAAAAAATTGCTTAAACAGCAATATCAGCTCTATGCTGTAGATAATTTTTCTTCTTTTGTTTTAAAAAAAGCACTTTATAATTATAAATGTGTTTCCTAAAATTTCATTATATATATATACATATATATTTTGTTTTAGGTATTTGCTGGTATTTGAAAGGAAAATATGTATATTAAGAACTGATTTTTATTTTTATTTTTTTACTGATTTTTCCTGTTTTACCAACTTACAAATATTATTTAGTAAAGAGACATGAAAAATGAAAAAAAAAATAGTTATAAAATAAAAATAGTAAAAACAATACACACACACACACACACACATATATATAATATTTACTGCACCCTTGCTGTCAGATTTTTTTTACTTTTTTCATGTACAGGATTTTTAGTAAAGCATTTAAAGTAAAACTAATCAAACAAAAAATAATGAAAACAAGAAAACAAAAACACTACCCCACCTGAAAAGCTAAAAACTTAAAGTGAAATTTAAAAAATTGTCTCTACTTGAGTTATGTGTTTGTATGTCAAAGACAAGCATTTAATTTGTTATTGAAATGTAAATAAAAGATCTAAACATCCAACCAGGAGACATGACTGAAGAGAAGTTTAGCTGCTTTCGGCTTCAGTAGCTACTTTAAAATCGCTTAAACGCTAAAGAACAGGACTTTTATATATAATATAAATGAACGTCCCTTACATTCCAGCTGTTGCCAAACCAGTTCGCACAATGCTGATTAAGCCTGTCAGCACCAAATAAACCTCCCTGCGGTATACCACAGTTTAAAAAAATTAAAGTGATGTCATAAACACGCGTTGGCAATGTTCGTGTAATTACTCTCACTGCCAGATGGGGGAGACAAAGTAAAAAATAAATCGCAACATGGATTAAAGTTTAAAAAAAGAGAATCATAATGCTTATTACTTGGCCAGGTTCTTCAGGCCTTTGACGCTCTCAGGTGTCAACTTGGTGATCTTGTTTCCATCCAGGTGAAGCTCAGACAGAGAGCTGGGCAGACCTGCCAGCACACAGGAGAAGGATTACCAATTAAATACAATCACACAATTACCTCTTGCCTATATGACATTATGAAACCACTTTTACATCTTTTGCAAACCTAAATTGTAGCTCCGCTATCAAAAGTAGCTATTTCTAAGTCAATCAGATCTAAAGGCTTCTTATTATATGTATCATTTTGCTAAATACTTCAGACATATTCCCATTTAGAGGTCGGGTAGTTTTGAATTACTATGCAGCACAGTGAGTTTTTTTTCTGTTTCACATTGAGTCCATTGTTTCACTGTAGACCGACAATAAATCACGCATTCTTTTGACAGAAGATGGTTGTTTTTGGCTGAGCTTGACTGGATACGACTTAGATTAAGCCAAATCCTCTATTAGGAATTATTTGTGGAAGTAGACATGAGAGCTGTACCTTTGGGAACCTCCGTGATATTAGTGTCTGCAATGCGAATGTATGAGACCCTTTTCAGGTCAGCGAAAGCATTTGCCTCAACTCCCGCGCCCTTCAGAGGGTTGGACCCGAGCTCTGAAAGAAAGGAATGAAGAAACAAATGAGGCCACATAAACAGAGAAAAAGGGAGAACAGCAGTAATGGATCACATCTATGAAGTTAATTCCTCTCCTGGTGTGTTACGGGAACAAAGAGCTGACTTATGAGTAAAGTCTTTGGCAAGAAAAGAACTTGTGCTTGCAAAGTAGTGTTTCTCCACACCAGATTTCCCCTTCGTCACGGCGGGATAATAACTCTCATATCGTTGCATTTTAAGTGATTGATTCCACACTTGGAGCTTTAGTTGATCAGTGACAGAATGATGCTTTGATTTTGCTGAACAGGAAATTTTATGAGGTGGAGATGAGTCGTCTAACGGAGAACTAAGTGATGCAACAGAACAGTTGGTTTTTTGGAAATAGTAAAAAAAAGAACAGTCACAGTCTGTAGAACAACATCCCACACACACTGGGAACTACAGACTAGTTAACAAGCAAGTTTGTTGCTTTTTAATTAAAATCAGCCCAACTGATGATTCCTATTAGAGTTCCTATTTGAACGATACACTTTACAGTAAAGTCAGCTGCTTTTGAACACTGCTGAAGTACATATGTGGAGTATACTGCTACTAAAAAGTGAATCATTTACAAACTTAACTTGCAGTTTGAAAGAATGCAATTTGCAAGATATGAAGTGTGGATATTGACTATTTCAATAATAAAATAACTAATGCATTAGTTTGGCATTCAAGCTTTTGATGGCATCTCATATGGTTTTAAATCTAGTGCATATTGAACTGAACTTCTAATCTAAAATTGAAACTTATTTTCCTGAAATCATTCAGCCCTAGTGCATGTGTATATACGTGTATATGTACTCCTGTAACTTCAGCACTGAACTCTGCAGTTTCATCACGTATCTTTTCCTTAACCAAACTTATAAAAACAAATCTAAAGCTTCTCCAGCAGCAGGTTGCATCCTCCAAAAAAGGACCAGTGTTCCCAAGATGGGCAACCTCATCGATCACTTGAAATATTACATCATGAACTCTTGTTGCACTTCAAACTGTTTGTGCTACCAAAGTAAATATTCCAGTTTTTCCCAAGTGTTTTCCATTTCTTACCCATGACGATGATGTGGGACATGCCCTGGAAGGAGGCCTTTTTGATCTTGGTGATCTCGTTCTCGTGGATGCGAAGCTCCTGCAGGCTCTTGGGCATGTTAGCTGGCATGTCCTTTAGCAAGTTCTTGGACAGGTAGAGGCGCTGCAGCTTGGTCAGAGGGCTGAGAGCCTTGGCGTGGATGATGGTGATTTTGTTGTTTACAAGGATCAGAGCCTGTACAGAGGAAAATGAAAGAAATTAGATACGAATATTCAATTTAAAATGTTACCCTGGCTGCATGGTGCAATAGAGCTTGTCCACCATCTGCTCTGAACTTCAGTTTAGGGAAAAGTTCGAGGTATTTTAAGGTATCAGTGTAAGGAGGTCAAAACTAGTAGTGTTTTCCAAATCAAGCTTGTTCTTGTTTATGTTCACATCACTGTTTAACATTCTTCTATTGAGGAATTTGAACTCTATTTCAAACTTTACACCTCAGCGGCTTTTAAATTCTTCCACTTGGAATCATTCATTATGAAATGCACCATATCAAAGTTTAAGAGCTTCACTTTCCAGACGAGATTCTGCAAAAACAAGACACTTTAGCAGCTGTTAGATACTCCAATCTGTTGCCCCTGCTGTCAAGATGGAAGGCCAAGTTCAAGTCCACTATGAGTTATCCCAAATTCACTTTTAGAGGAATGTCACTCCTGCCGTTTCACTCTGTTTGGAAGCAGACATGAGGCAATGTGAGGTATGTGGACCATTCCCCTTGAGAGGCCAGTTACATTGCAGTGGAAGCAGCTCCGGCCGTCAGACGGAGGTATTTATTGCAAGCAAGAAAGCTACAAGAGTTCGGAGGTGTGAGGCTGTAAGGCCTTCGGGTGAATAGTTTCCATGCACCTGGCGTCTGGGGGAGTGGGACTTTTCCCCGTTTCTGGGTGGCAATAATGAAAGGACAAGGGTATTATGGATAGCTACATGGAGGAGGAGGCGTTCGGGTGATGTAAAGTCTTGGTGAATGACTGGACATTCTCTGTGAGCAAACACATATATACCATATATGAATAGACAATTCTTCACAGCCGGCTTCCTGGAACAGTTTTTCTGCACGTCTGCACTGACAGCATAACCAAAGTTGGTTTAATACAAGATGTTTCTCCATGGGCATCATCAGGGTTTCATGTTGAAGGGGCTGCGGTTCGTGTAATGGTTATATAAGACCACACATTACATAACATTGGGAATAACGTACAGAGAATGGACACGCGGCTCTATAGATGGAAGCGAAACGTCTCTTACGTGTAGCCCTTTGAGGTTCTTGAAGTCGTTTTCCTTGATCTCAGTGATCTTGTTGTTCTGGAGGTCCAGCAGGGTGGTGTCATCAGGAATGTCTCCAGGAACTGCCTTCAGACCTGAAGATCAATGTCAGTGAGAAACTGATTAACTGGATGTGCTGTATGTATGCATGAGGTAGCAGCATATGGAGTGATGGATGACGGAGTTGGAGGTGAGGTGGTTACAGTCCTGGTGCTTTGAGGTTAACCACACTCTGACCTCAACAGGAAATGGATACAAAATGGTTGTCCACTCGTCTCCATGGGGTGGTTAAAGTGTTTCACAGTTTTCACAAACTGCAGAGTTTAAACTGCACCTTAAGTCTTGTAAATCTCGATAATTTTATGTTTAAGTCTCTTAAATTTTTCTGCCAAAGCTGTGACTATTTTTTGGAACTTTACTTTAGTTTTGCATTTGTGCTTTTCTTGCTTTTTTGAAATGGGTAAGGCTTATTTGGAAATAGTGTTATCTTTGTGTCAGAGTGAAGCAGCATCTTAATCAAAATCTGGTGACTATCAAATCTGATAACACCAATCACACACCATCCTAATTAGTCTTAAATCCTTAGTTAATAGAGTCTAGAGTTGTTTTCTGAACTTCACCTTCTGTTCATTCAATCATGACTAGTTTATATAGTACTTAATGTACTAATAAAGTACTTTGAATTTGACTTTTTAGGGCTTTCAGCTCTTAAGATGTGGTGACTCTCCAAAGGGACCAAATAAATATCTGATGTGCTCCGAGGCACATGTGGTGGAAATGGACCTTAAAACAAATTTCCTTTGGAGTAAGTAAGCGACTGCATACCTGGACGCTGAGGTCACGCTAAATCATTTTGCTTGGCACGTCACAGACATTGTGGCACAGAAAAAAAATGGTGTTTCTAGCGAGAGACTGTTTGGTTTAAGTGGACTGTTTTTTTAAAGTCAGCAGGGACAGCTGGGAGATACGCTTTGATGCATCCGTGGCGACACGAAAAATACACCAAGATTCATAATGGGCGGTTAACATCTGAGAGGAAGAGGCGTAGAGTAAACTGTTTAACAAAGAAGCTTACACTCCCCATCTCCGGGCCGCGTATACATACGTCTGGACAGACTTTGTCTCAAAAACCGGTGACGACTTCTGTTCGGCTCACCCAAACATTACTTCCAGATAGGTTTGTTTTTCTGTCAGCTTTTCCAGCTCAGCAGTGAATGACCCACAAACCATCACAGCTGTTTGTGGTCGCCACCATCATTACAGCGCCACACTGTATAGCGCTATTCCTGCACTCACACATTCTCTTTTTCATTGTTCTGCCCCAAAAGTCAGACCACCCCTGCCTTTGCTGCTTAAATATTCTTTTTTTTTTTTAAACTATGGGTCTTGCAAGTACACCAAACTAAATAGCTGAAATACCCCTTCAGAAGCCTCTCTAGCCAAGAGTTTCAAATGAATCTGTTATTGTTTGTATCGGTATATCTCTTGTGTCACTGTATAAGGCCAATGGGTTTAGTTGCTGAATATTACTTTGAAAAACATGACTCAATACCAATTTTTTAATATTGGAGTGCATCTAAATTATGTCATGACAAACACAACTCAACAATGACTTCTGTACCAGACAGTAAAAATGTAAATGGATGGAAAAATTGTCGAGTCGAGTCCCTTAAAACAAATGAAAACCAACTCTCGTGTTTCAGCCGCAATTTCAACAATAAATCGCCAATAACGTGAACTGACAAGCAAATGTAACTTATTTTAATGTCATGTTTCAGTCAGCTTCTCACTTTTCAGGCCCCAGAGCCACTTGGCAGGTAATGAGCAACACAAATTAGACTTCCCAGCCTTGTCCTCACTATTAATCACCCAGTTTTAAATCAAAGTGATTGGGGATATCAGGCGTGTGATTGCTTTGGACTGGACCGAACTCATTTCCAAGCATTAATGACAGCATTTATGTAATTTCCTCTCATTGTCTGGCGCTGTGGCTGGGCGAGACAAGTTCATCTGGCTGCATCAAAGACCCGATTGAGATTGAGCAAGTTGGGGTGTTTTTGCTCGGTCACTCAGAGATGTGGGTGGATGTGAAGTCCCAGTTTTGCACAATCGCTTCTTTTAAGAGATACAGCTCGAGCTTCAGATTGAGCCATGAGGTACACTTTGAACCTTGTAACCTTGAACAAAAGCTTGTCTAGTCGATCAATCAGCAAAGCTACACTTTCTGTCCTGAATGTCAAACTCATTCACATCTCTGAAGCCACTGTTGAGCAGACTCTCCTGGCTTCTGTGTGTCCAAATGCACATATCTGTTTATTCCTGTGTGTGTTTGCGTGCATGGCGGCCGGTCTGGGGAGCAGATGGAGGCTCGGGGCCAACAGTGCCTCTGCAGGAGTGGAGAATCCAGGCACGGAGCTGCGTCTTTCGGGAAACTTCTGCTGCTAACTGCCCTCGGCTGGAGCGATGATGTAATGGAACCGGCCTTTTACTGAACATCAGTTTCTCCAACCGTCTGTCGCTCTGACGTTTGAGCCACCTGCTCATCTGGGTCCGTCTGCCTGCCTGTCTGTCTGTCTGCATGCTCTGCTTCTAACCTCAATCTGAAACATCTCTTGTCTTTTTTAATTTATCCTCACAGTGTTCCCCATCAGTCCCCCCCTCTTATTCATCCCTCCGCTTGAAGCTCACGTCCCTCCCTTCGAAAACAAAAGCCGAGCCAAAAAACTATCGAACCCAACTGCGTAGCAAAGCACTTTTATGTAATAAGCAAGAATAAATGAGGTCGGGGACTTTTCTGTGACAGTGTTTGCGAGACTACTCAGACTCTTGTATATGCCATACATCAGATTAGACAAACATAGCAGAAAAGCGCCAAACAACGAGGATGACAATTGAATAAATTGTTATGACTGTGTCGAGGTAAAAAGCTGACTAAGTAATTGTAGCTTTCCTACCTTGGGAAATAACCTTAGTAAGCTTTATATCGGGGAACTACATTTATGGATGACACATGGGATTTGCTCAGGATGTCCCTAAATCCAGATGAACCTTTAATCTCACAAATAATGCAGTTGTTACAGGAAGCAAAAATAAGACTCACAGCATCTGTGTGCGGTTAATGGTGTCTTGCTCTCTGGAGGGACTTCACAATAACACACCCTTCGAATGACCTTGTGGGTTTGGGTGGAGGAGGGAAGAGTTGGGGACTTTTGTTCTTGCGTTTAACGACAAAGGATTGTCTCTCAGCACAATAAAAGTACAGTAAAACTCCTGCAGCCACCCGTCTGACCTCAGCATCTGATCCATCAAAGTGAGCGCAGTCATGTGGAATCCAGACTGCAGCGCCAAATGGAGGACTAGAAGAGGAAAATGGATGTGGACAAGAGGCTTGTGACATTTCTCTTGTTATTAATTTTTGATTAATTTTGGGCGTTAGATCCTAGATGCACCTTCAGGAACTGGGTGTGATAAAGGAAACAAACAATAAAGATGAATAATGTGCAATCATAGTAATGGAGTTTTGTTTGAAAAATAGGACTAATAACTCATCTTCAGACTTTATTTTTCTTCTCTTATTCTCTCAGTGTTATATAACCGTACATTGAGGATGCTTATGTTTTGAACTGGTGCTTGGATTCGATGAGTAATTTAAGGACATCTCTTTGGGCTCTGAGGTAACTGTGATGGGATTTTTTCTCTGTTATCCGAGACTCCACAAGTCGAGGTGATTAATCAAGAAAATTAGGTCCAGCTCTATTACATGATGAGAATATATTACAAAACTTTTTTTTTTTTGGGATATGTTGTGTGTGACTGTAAGTGCTTGGGTGATTTACGACCATAATACTCAATACAAACTGTGGTTTTATGTATGACAGAGGACACCTGTTCCTTTGTATGCTCTCAACAATAGAAGTGATTAAATTAAATTAAAATTCAATTCAAGCCACATTTTTTTCTTTTGCGCCCTTTGTTTCCAGTATTTACATGACTCATCAATGCTGCATTGCAACACGTGCAACTGTTAATTATGGGTATCAATGAGATTAAAAGAAGAGAAAGAATGTTTAGATAATGTGTGGGACCATTTTCGTCTTTTGTCATGAAGATAGTTTGTATAGTGCAACTTAAGATCCTTAAAGTTTTAGGTCAGAGAACAGAACTTTCTTTTGGTTATTATTCGACCACAGTGTAGAGTTTTAGATTTCGTACACAAGCATTTGAACTGGGAGGCTTACCGAGGTCAGAGCACTGGATCACACGAAGGTGGCACTGGCACCTGAAGGGGCACTTGGGTCCTTCAGGCATGGCAGGAATAGCGAACTCCTTGGTTACGTCAGGCAAACCTGAACCCGGATCATCATCCATCATGAATTCTAGGAAGCCGGACTGGCGGAAGGGCAGAGCCCAGCAGGCGGTGACCAGGAGCAGAGAGAGACAGGCCGACCTCATGGTGCTGCTAGTGGGGAGCCTGAGAGGACACAGTTCAAAGGTTTGAGTGGATGAACTTGGAAAACAGTCTTTTAGCTTTTAAATGACCATGTGTTGTTCAACTGTCTGTTTCTTGCACTGTGATATTCAAAAGGCAGAAAGAAGAAAGTAGATTTTTAAGTGTGAGAGACACTGACTGAAGTCCAGAGAGGCAAAGGGCAAAGGTGAGGGGTGGAGGTCAGGTAGTAGAAGGTTAAACACCCCAGTGTGACAATTTAGTGAAGGTAGTCAAACAAGCTATTGAAGTGCTGTTTTAGGCAGAAGGTGAAAAGTGGGAGAGCAGGGGGTTGGTGTGAAGCCAAATGAGAAAATGACATAACATTACTTTGCCTGAAGGAACAACATGAAGGTATTTAGATTTCTAAGAAATAAAGAGAAAACAAAAACAGACTCAGTGAAAGTGGTGATACTTTGGTATGAGAACGTTACTTCTGGATGTGCAGCATCTACTAGAACAGTAGTTCACAGAATTTTTACGAGATATACCCTAAATTTGAAACAAAGGAACTCTTTGCACATCTGTTTTACGAGACAGGTGTGTGAGAGACTTCTGAAAGCTTCCAAATGACTCTTGCACACTGTCTGACTGACAAAAATACACCAGTTTGCCATGATTTGCTGCTGGACCTGGATCTTTTTAAATCAGATTCACCCAAACAGCAATCGCCACATTCCAAATGTGAAGAGTTCATTTACAAAAACAGATAACTCAATTTTGGTAGATTTTCAGAGAACTTTTTTGTTGTTGTTGTTTGCTTGAGATAATATCATTCAAATTGAAGGTGAGTGGATTTAACTCAATAGAAATGACATGACAGAAATAGAGATAACTTAAGTGTGATTGATATTGTCTCAGGTAGATGATGGAAAAGTGGGTTTTCTGAAGGTTTGAGAAGATGGAGTTATCTGTTTTTGCAAATTAACTCTTCATGTGTCATTTAAACTTTAAGATAATTTGCTAATGGAAGGTTTTCCTTTACATTATCATGAATAAAAAAATATATATTGTTACAGTGTCAGTGTTTAGGTTGGTTTGGTCAAGTTTTCTTTGTATAAGTGCTGTTGCCACTTAAGGTGGCAGAAGCTAAGTGTTTCAGACATTTATCTTTTACTTGTAGCAAAGTATTTAAACTTTTTCTTTACATTTTGCTATTTACCATATTTCAGACATTTATCTAGTATGTTTAGGTATCTATTTCAGTTGCTCATACATTTTCCTTTTTTCACTTTAAGTATTCTTTACCTACGCCACACTCACCACTATTCTTTTTAGCTAGCATCTTTGCATAGTAACTGGTAGTTTTTTTTACTCTCAATCACATCAGTGACAGATATTACAACTGACTTTAAAATATATTTGTCCCTTCTGTTCCTCAGATCAGTTGATCTACTTTACAACATGTCCTCATACACTCTACAAACTGCACTCCTAGTTGGGACTCAGTGTATTATGCAATTCACTGGTATTGTTTGTTGTTGAATATTTTTGAATGTTTATATAATAATACAATGTGCTTATGAAATGTGCTTTTTTACTCCAGAGAGAGAGACTGCATTGGCTGCTGCATAAGTAACATCTGCATTAGCTTTTACAGCGACTCACAGGGGAAGCATCGCAGGAAATTTCATGGCTGCAACTGTATACCGCTGCACTATGTTCTCCTCTATTCGCATGTAATGAATCACAGTGATCGCTCGCTTTGCCAAGCACTTTATCAGCAGGGAAAAAAACAAAGAGGCATGTATCTACTGTGCAAGCGGAGTCACTGGGAGAATCCTACTTCCTCGCAGTTGTCTATTTCTAAACACAACCACAACCCGGTTGACACATACACACACTCTGTGAAACTCAAACACACTGAGGACATTCATACAAACTTCCTGACCTTTTACACAGCGACACACTCGCTCTCTCCTTTGCACACACACATACACATGCATGCATGCAGTGTCTCAAAGACCCAGCAATCTGCTTGTCATGTGTAAAGCCAAAAGTTGCTGCTTCCCTCATGGTGCCACAATAATTGAAGGGCGGATTTGAGCCACAGCTGCTAACAACTGATTTGGGTGCAGCTGGTCTGCAGCGGACCTTGACCCGAACATCATGACCAGGATGATGAAACTTACCCAAAACCATCAGTTGGCCGGGACTAAAAGGGAATTGAGGCTGGTTTATATGGTCTGTGAGGATACGTATGATGCTCATGTGCTGTATCTTTGTGTATTTTGTGATTCCAGGGTGCAAGTTCCTGCTTTTATGTGCATCAATGCAATGTTGTTTGTGTAGCTGGATGTGTTTACAGGCTATATATGTGAGTGAAAATGCACTAGTTAAAATCTTTTACAGGTTTTCTGTGTCTGTGAAGATGAGAGAGAAAGTGAGAGAGGGAGTTGTGCTGACATAGTGTAAATTCAGACCAGGGTTGCGCCAGGTCATGAAGATCACGGCTCAGGCCGACTCTCAACACGAGCAGTAATTATAGTCTTTGTCCACAAAACAGCCACCGCTTTGACACACTGTACAGCTCCAGTCCAGTGGTTACATCGCTTGCATACAGTATGACCGAGCTTGAAATCGCTTCCATTCAGAGGGTAATTGCGTCGGACGGGGTGTCTCTTCCCCTTAATGGTTCCTTTTCTGTTGCTCTGAAGCGTTAAAAAGCCCGAAAAACACTCAAAATGCTGATTCCGTAAGTTGGCACACAGAGCCTGGAATTGTGTCATACTGTGTTTAATGTCTAGATGCAGTTTTCCATGTACTTGGAAGCATGAAGTATGCACTGTAGTGGGAGGTGTTGAAACACAAAGCTCCGGTCTGAACATACGGCAGATCCAGAGGACATGTTGTTCCTGTCTCCGACAGGATGACTAATCTTGGCCGTGTTGGGCTCTCATATCTAAACGAAGCTGAAAGTTCAATCCAACCAAAACCTTGTCTGCAGACTTGGCAACAGAGTTCTGTCGTCTTTTTGGATTTACGGATGTCAAGCACTCCTGGGTCAAACAGTGCCTGTTTTATCCAGCTCAGATGCCAGATTGGTTGGGCTTGTCTTGTTGTATGATACTGTGGTACTGAACTCCTCACATCTGGCACATCTTGCAGGCTCTAACACTGAATTATCTACAGAGCCGGTCTACCAGCTCTGTTTAAAGTAAAACTAATGCAAACACAAAATAGCAGCGCTGATTACTGAACCTTATCTCCTCGCTTTGACCTGTGGCCGCAAGCACATAAACAGATATACATGAGGATGTTCGTAGGTGCAGGATTTCAGACACCCTTTCATGTGTCTTGCCATCAATCTGTCAACCTTTGGCTTCCATTAAAAGCTGTCGAAATCTTTATGAACAGACAGGAAAGAAGAAGAAGGAGAAGAAGGAGAAGGAGAGAGCGATCTCAAACTAAGCTCTGTAAGCATTTAATGGCTGCAGCATTACTGCAAAGACAAGAGTTACTGCTACTTTGTGAGTCATGATCAGGCTCAGGAGTTGTTGATGGTGAGGATGAAACAATTTGAAATAAAACCAGGAAAAAGGACTATAAGAGACTTTCAGGGATTATTGTTTGGGACTTTAACTAACAATTTGTAACCGCAGCTGCAGAATGAACTTTAAGTGGTGTTATTTATTGAGTTAGGGCTTTTTGGGTCGAGAGGGTTGGACGTTGTGGAAATTTATGGCCTTATATCAAGAGAATAGTGATGTAATATTGAGTATAGGCTCATGAGGTCATTCTGCAAGCATGAAAGTTATTCTAAAATTCGAAACGTACAATGAAAAACATTAAAAATCCACAACCTTTTGTGGCTTTCCCAGCTGGGACGAACCCGTGGACACAATACATGAGACGACCTGCTGTTCATCTTTCACTACCAGTCTGCTTCGATGTGTCCACAGGCCCTGCAGGATGGTCTGCTCCAAAGACACGTCCCTCCTTTTTCTCCTCACACACACACACACATACACCCCTGAAGAATCCACCGAACATGCCGGCTCCTCAAACAACCCAGAGGGTGCTGTCAAAGCAGCAAGCTGGAACATGACTAGACGATGCAAACTCCGCGTCTCACCGGTATCGCAGTTTCTAATCCCCTCAAAGAAGACACGACTTTCTGTTGTGAGATGAAAGCACTTTATCATTTCTGACTTTCATCAAGGAGTCCTGGTGATCACACCCAGCAGGAAATCAAACCTTGATGTTACCAAAAGGTTCCAGTTTTGTGCCCTGCGGTTTGGAAAACACGAGCTGACTTTTAATGCTATTTTCTACCAGTCGAAGCAATGCGTTTTTTTGCAGTGGTTGTTGCCTGACTTGACTTTGTAATTATTTCCTTAATATGTTTTGTATAATTGTTGTTGATATCTGGCCATTGGGGGCACTATTTATTGACTGAAGAAGGTCAAGTCAAGCATCTATGCTAACATATTTAAGAAAAGCAAGTGTATCAAACCATTCTTCCCAAAGTTCTTTGCTTCCTGTTTCAGGGCAGTGTTGCTTTATTGGAGGAACATGGTGTATGGTGTTGGTGCGGCCGCATGCCAGCTTACAAAATGAAAATAGGACAGGCTTTATTCACAAGAAATGGACTGACACTAATTGGTAAAAACTGGTAGACAATCGGTTTCCTATTAATGGACTTTGAACCAAAGACTCTCATTGTGAAAACCTCTCAACAAGTGCCGAATCTCACACACAAGACACGCAACAAAAGATGACATCATGGGTGTAAAGAGATGATCATCACAGTGCTGAAGGGGAATCAGCTAGTCAGTGTTTCACCATGCATCTCGTGAACTTTTAGTTTTATGGTGACTTTTTGAAATAGATTTGGCCAAAGATGTTATGGATGATCCATAGAATTCAATGCACTGAGACGAATGATGGTTTAATTACTTCCAAACAGTTAGAAGTGCCTGTTGAATTACTGCCTCAGAAAGCAGAGTAGCTATAGAAAGGATGTTTCAAAATGACTAAAGCTGAGGCAGCTGTAAAAAACTTTCGTCCATATTTTCTAGAGATTTACAATCTACCGTATCCCAGAAGAGGACAAATGGCGCGCTAACCATCTCTGTCTTCTTTCCTCATGTCTCTGAAACCTGCGATTCATCATCCCCATGTCCGACCGAGAAAAAAGAGGCGGAGGTTGACATTTCCTGTGGCGGCGGCATCCTTGTCAGTCCTCCTGTCTCCCTCTTTTCTCTCATCTCTCTCCTCCCTCTTCCCCCTCCACTTTTCCCCCCTCCAAGCCTGGCCCTAGCATTACTAATGATTCCCAGACAGGAAGCAGAGCTTGCATTAGGGAGTAAAGTAATTTTCCCTTCTTTGCTTTGTCACTTTCTCCTCTTTGCTGCCACCTTTCATTGAAACTTTCGAGCTCAGAAAACCAATGAGGTACCAGTCGGAGGATTATCGTGTTGACCTGCAGCGTGAAGGAAACAAACTTGAGCATTAGGCACCGTGATGCCGTTATCTTAGCAATGATGATCCAACTAATATAACTTAGAAACTAACCACCACCCGCTACCCTCCGTCTGCTACCTCCCCCCTCCTCGGTAACTCTCCACAGGCCTGCATCTGCCTCTGCAGTGCGTCTGTCGGCAATGAATCACTGGAAGGTATTTACAAGGCCACAGGACATTTAAAACACGTGTGGCCCTTTTTAAACCCATCAGCAAATGTATGTGCGCTCCCCTCCCACGTGGTTGCACAAACACATAAGCGTGATTAATAACAATGCTGCAGTACAAAAAAAAAAAAAGACTGGGTTTTATAAACTCTTAATTTGGCAGTTGTCTGAGTAGTCAGAGGTCATCATTTAAACAAATTTCTCAAACACATCGGGGGATTTTGGGAATGCATCTGAAAACACGTCAGGCCAAATCCATCTGGTCTTCCAATGGGATGCTTTTGGCTCTGAGAATCCCCAAGATGCTCCTTATGACCACTACAATCAATATAATTTCTTTATACAGCAAAAATAAAAACTGTCAGACTCGTAACTATAACTGAAAGATCATTTTAGGGTCTTTAAAGCATGCCTGTTGTTTGGAGTCACAGTTTGAGAACGCCAGTGAGCGGTTAAACCACATTTCAGCTGTTCCATGAGAAGAAGCTGTCGGCCTGCCATCAACCTCAGTCCCATTATCAACAGTCTGCGCCGTACAGACGTGGACGAACTGTCCAACCTTCTCTCCCTTTCTTCTCTTTCCATCTCCTCCTCCCATTCTGAGCTCTTTTCCCTCCTTCCCCAGCCTGTCTCTCATAGCTTATGGTATTTTCTCTCTCTGTCTGACCCCTTAAAACTTTGGCCTGAAAGACTGACATGTGGAACTTTTCTGCTATTCCAGCGAGAGAAGTCGGGGTGGTGGGGGGGGAGGGCGAAGGACTTCATGGCTGATGTCCATTCAATTCCATTGTTCTTTTGCTCCTTTTGACCCAAAGAGTTGAAGTCCAGATGGAAAAAATGCAGCCCCTGAGTGCAAATCTGGGCCTCATCTCCTCCAACCTTCCGTTCACTCACTCCTGGTTCAAATGTTCAACATCTGCTCAGCTCAGATCGAAAGTATGAACTGGTGAAGCACACTTATCGCTCTGAGGGTATTTTAGTCCAGTCTGTATACCTCTTTTTAGCCTCTCTTCTATTCTAAGTGCCATTTTTCATTCTATTTTGTTTGTCTCAGTTTTTCCCCTTGTTCTGTTTCACTCCACTCCATTCAGTGGCATTCAGTGCAGCTGAGCCTTATTAGGTTTTTTCCCTGCTGGCAAAAAGGATGTAATGAGTTAGCTGAGAGTTGTGTGGTGGCTTGCCGGGAAGTCTTCAGACCTCTCTTTGATAGAGGAAGCTGTACCATTACGGGATTAATGGCACTGTTTGTTGCCAGGTACAGCCTTTTTTTTCATCTCCTCTTCAAAGCCTCTCACTTTAAGTTGCCCCTAGCAATTTGGGTGCTGTTCTGCTTCTGTGAAAACACAGCAGCAAATGCCACGGTAGGCAGAGGAGGCACATTTTGAAAAGAAACAGGGCTGCTGAGAAGACAGATAAGAGATTGGGGTTAAAGTGGTCTGGTTGCACTCTCGAATGAGCTGCTGAAATGGAAAGTGTGAGAGGCACCAGAAACAACATTTCCAATCAATGCCTTGAGAAGCAGTAATGGGCTGAATCAACACAAAGAAATCCTCATTGTTGTTTCAAACTTGTTTTCTTTTTTTCTTCTTTTTTTCCCCTAATTTGCTTGTAGACTGCCCAAAACGCCACAAGGAGAGAGAGAGAGAGGGAGAAAAAGAATGAAAGAAAGCTAAACAAAGAGAGAAATGGAAAAAATGAATGCATCAAATCATAAACTTTTCCACTGACGTTAGCAAATGATGACAAAAAGAAGAAGCAGCTAACTTCACGAGAAAAAGTTCTCTCCCTCTCCACCCTCACTCGAATCATCATCTTTGCTTAAGCTTTACAAATCTGAATCACTTGTCGTTGCAAAACGAACGCACTGACAGCTCTTGAAGAATGCACCAACATATGGGTTACATCCAAACAGTCAACAAACAAGTGTCCAAACACTTCACTTGGTCAGTTGCCACAGAAACTGACAAATTAAAGAAAAAAAACAAAAAACTGCAAGCTGAAATTGTTAAACTGCTGAGAACATCACATGGGCCTGAGCTTCGGATACTTTGGAAATTACCGATGGGCTGAAAGAATACATTTTTGGCAGAGGGGTGAGGTACCAGCATCAACTGCGCTACCACACCCCCTTCCCTAGCCGCTGCTCTTTTCACTGAGCTGTATGCAGATTGGACTGGGAATGATTAAGGCTCTCTCATCACAAAGCCAAGAGTGCTGTGGGAACAAGACCTGGCAACATATCTGGAATATATACACACACACACACACACACACTCTCACACGTAAGAGCAGTGGAGGGAGGTAGAAGTAATATAATGTATGAAAAAGACAAGCATATCATGCACATGTAACAGTGAATTAATTCCACCTTTAGAAAAAACAATATCATCAGCAAATAATGTGACTTTTTGATCATGAGTAAGAGTTTTTTTCCCCCCCACTTTTGCAGAAAAAGCATTAAACGAATCCAGCAGCAATTCTCTCAAGGGTATTCTCTATCTCTTTAAAACTTTAAAAACCTACCTCCTTACTCTAAACCCCCCCAACAATACCCACACTTTTCTCCTCTCCCGGAGTTAAAGGATCAACCTACCTGTTCTCAGCAGAAGCTCGGCGAAGAGAGTAGAAGTGGTTGAGATTAACTTGACTCCCAAAATCCAGTCGAATGGGGGGGATGAGACTGTGAAGTGGCTGCGAGGGCCTATGGGGTAATTGGACTCGGAGCGCGTGCAGCCAAGATCAAGCAGGTGTGCTCTGTCACAACAAGGGGAGGAGAGAGAGAGAGAGAGAGAGAGAGAGAGAGAGAGAGGGTAAGAGAGGAAGGGAGTAACGGGAGAGAGAGGGGAGAGAGACAGAAGGAGGGAGGGGTCCGACCGCCGAGCTCCTCTCAGGACCGAAACAATTGGTGGAGAACTTCCCTCGTTCTCGCTGCGTGCTCCAAAAACAGCTGGAAATGGAGAAGGGAGGACGAAAAAAAAAAAAAAAAGGAAAAGCAAAAGAGAGAGAGAGAGGGAGACGGGGAGAACGAGCGAAGAAAGAAGAGAGAGGAAGAGAAAGAGGAGTTGGAGTTTAAGGCAATAAGCAGTGATTCGGCTGGCAGCCACCCTCACTGTGACATCTGGTAATGATAGGTCCTGTGTGGAGCTGAGCTGAGAAACGTTGCACACAAACTCTCCTTCTGCCTCTTTCACACTCTGTCATTCATCCTTATTCAGCCTCTATGCCGTCTGTCCTCAGGAAAAAAACACACACACACACACACACACAGAAGATGGATGTGTCCCCCCAGTAAACCCCCGTCTTATTCTTAACCCCATTCCCCAGATCTTGATTAGGTTTGTTTAGGTTGAACCTGGGTGCACTGGGGCTTTACTGGACAAAAGCAGAGGAGGAGGAGGCACTATGTGGGACTGGAAGGCTCCAATTCTTAGCCTTATCTCCGGAGAAGAATGTTGATATTGGAAAATTGTGCAAAATCCTAAAATGCTTTTTTTCTCCCCAGATTCAAATTTTTTTCCACTTATGTCAGCATTTTAAAATTTCCTGTTTTCTATCATATTCAGACAAAGCAACTGCTCCATGTTTAAGATAAGAAAGGGATTGCGATAAGGGAAATTTCTAAACTTTACTTTTCACCTTATTAGCTAAAATTCAAAAGAAAGTCAAGACTTGGCCAATTAGGATCCATCCTCTGGGAACCCTGAATATAAGCACAAAACCTTGAGCAAATCTAACGAGACACCATCTTACAATGGGATGACATCGGCCGTGACACTGTGGCTGAGCGTTGGCTGCGTCTCGCCGTTACAGAAAGGTCACATGAAGTTTAATTTCGGCATTACTCAACGTCTCCGTCACCAGCCATGTGTTCAACTGGCGAGTCCTTGAGCCGCTATCTGCTTCCTTGTAATTTACTCTGGCTCATAAAACCGGCTATTGTGCTTTGAATGGAAACGATGAAACGCAGACAAAGTCTTTACATGACTAATCTCTATTCTTGTATAAATCCAGTCTTAGTTCTGCTTTAATACCTTTAATAAACCTAAAGTTTCCACACTTTAAGGACTTGCGCAATAAACTGAAGCTGCTGATGGTGCAAGTTAGGAAGAAGCACTGACGTCACACCGTTCTCACTGTAGCTGAGAACTTTTGAATTGAAACAGATTTATATAAAAATCTACTGTTGTGTTTGTAGCGCAAACAAATAGTTCCAGTAGTATTTGTTGTTGTTACAGAGTTCTTTTTAAGTGAGTGTATATTATTAAGCGCATTAAGCGGCACTGAGAGGAACACCTGTGGACACCTGCAGCGATTAAAGCTGTTGAATCTTTTCATATTGTTTACCTTGACTCATGTCTCCACACTTCTCGTCTTGTGTCTTTACTGAAGTCTTAGTTTTAATTGCTGCCTGGATCAGAAGAACATTGCTTTTATCATGGAAGAGCTCTATCCGTAACATGGAAAAGCTGCTTTCTCAGTTCCTATTTGAGGTGAACCTATCAAAACGTTTGTCTCATTTACTGTGGTTCCTTTTCAGCCAATCATTAATGTGTACGTACTAGACAGGGAGGAATCCATTACCTTTGTAACAGGGCTGCATTTTAACCCAAATTGAACTTTTTCCTAAAGCTAATCAACTTATCTTGGTGCTTAAACTTAAACAAGCTTCCAACGTGTGGTTAATGTCGTGAAAGTGTCGGCCAAAGCAAGATATTTTCCTGAACCTAACCAGGTAGGTTTGGTGCCTAAACCTCACCAAACAGTAAGAAGACCTGAAAGTGAATGAGTGAAAGCGAAACTTAAGAATTATGGTCCTACATGGAAAACAAGCCTCCATCTCCTGGACAAGGGTCTTGTTGGTGTATTCTGCTGCCATCTTCTTACACAGACTTTGTGGCTTGTTTAAACTGGAAGCATTTCTTACTACATCATAGTCGTACCTCTCCAGAAGAAAATACCAAAGTCCAAAATTCAATGTGTATGCATTTTAGCAAGACATGGTTGCCTGGAAGAAAATCTATCTACCTCAGTCATGTTCTCCCCCTTTGTTTTGACTGTCTTTGACTCTTTCTCTTGAAGACTAAAGAAGGATCAGATAACAGAAGAGCAGGTTCTGTCCTGTCCGGTGTTTCCTCTCTCAACAGTCTCTCCCTGCAGAAGGCAAAGGCCAGACCACACATGTGGTGGCCTCAAGTGTGTCGAAATGGTCCATCTTTGTCTTATAGAGACTTATGCGCTGCACGTCTTCAGGTTTTTGTATAAAATAATAGCTTTCACTTTAATGCATTTTATCACCTGGGGTCCATGCTGTAATCCTTGAGCTATTTGAGCTTAAATTGAGTCCACAAAGGGACGGAACAAGATGAGCAGAAGACCAGCATGGAAAGAGGTCAGAGGCCAGGAGGATTACAGCATGATGTGGCGTAGTGGATAAAGCCAGGTGTCCGACGCAAACGCTGAGATCATACCTGGCACATGTTTCAATAATGGGAACAAGAGAGGAGAAAAACCCCCAGCTGCATGCTTCCATCTTCGGAAGGTGATGGAAAACAGCCTTCTTATAACAGTAAGGAGGCGGCTTTGCCATGACACGTGGCTGTTGTGGGGATCTGACCTCTGACCTCCTGGTTGCTGGGTGGCCTCTGATTTGTTGTTCTGTTTAGACAGAAACAATAAAACTTGTAGCTGAACCTGACCTCAGGCAGGCATGTAGTTATAGCGGATCAAAAGAGTGTCAAACTGCAGACATATTAATTAAAGTTATCCCGCCAGGGCTTTGTGTTGAGGTGTTACTGTCTCACAGCAGAGACAAAACAAGGAGACAAGAAGTTTAAAAAAAGATTGAGAGGACGGGATCAAAAGAAACTTTTAACATTTTTAAAAGTGGAATTTCAGGTAGCCTACAGTTCTATTTGTGTGCATCGAGAAGCAGGATTGAAAGGTTGCAGGTATTGTTAGTTGTGCTTACAAGAAAGGAGGTTTCAGAGTGAGGTCAATGACTCCATATGAAGTTGTGACCTCGGTATTGTTTTGTTTTGCTGTAAATCACAGAGGATTTGGAGTGATCTGGATGCTGACAGCTGAGATTTTCCGGGCAAAAAAAACAAAAAAACAGCCCGCCCCCTAATCTTGTGGATCGACACGGAGATGCCACTGGCTGGATGTGTTTGCTTCAGGTCAGGGAGGATACTGTTAGAAATATAGTTTTGCATGGCATTTCAAGACAGTTTTTGCACAGAATTTTAGAAATATTTTATTTGCACAATAAAAAAGTTTTGAAAGAAATACTGTGCGTTTGTAATTTGCAGACACTGCAAAAAAAGAAAAAAAAAGAGAGACATAATGACACAAATTGGGACTTTCTGTAAGTTTGATTGCTTGTGCCGACGTGTTCAGTGTTACGTCCAACCTGCACCTCATTGATCCTTCACTCAACATGCAAACACATAGGCAATTTTCAGTCGAGAGCTGGAGGCTAAATGCACGCTCTGTTTCACCTCTATATAGACACTGTATTTCTCTATTATTTGGCTCTCTGCCTGCCATTCATACAACTCTTCTCTATTAAAAGAGAGAATTTTTCCCCCCCCTCCTTTTCTCTCTCTTAAATCTTACATTTTCCAAGCCAGCCTCCACTAGCAGAACAATCAAAACACGGCTTATTACCACTCTGACACACACTCGATCTCTGCTTGTGGATAACAAATGATTGGGCAGAAACAAAATCATTTTGGGGCCATTAAAGGCAGTCAAAGACATCCGAAAGTGAAATGATGTATGGGAACGATGATGACAAAACATTTATATTGATGTAAAACGGCTATTAAGGCTTATGTGTTAAAGTCTGGGCAGGTTTCACGGATGGAAGCGAGACAATGGGTGTGGTTCAAGTAAGGGATGTAGCCTTGGGGGATGTCTACATGAACAACTTGTTTAAACACCTTCTTTTAGTATTAGAATGAGCGTCATTTCACCTGTGTAGGAGCAAACTGACAGCACTTATATTGCAAAAAAAAAAAAAAAATACTGGAAAGAAGGTGGATGCATATAGAGCTTTCTGCTTGCATAGAACATTAGTAAAGTAGATTGAATTCTCTAAAGATGTCCCTATTACAGAGACTTTTGTGAGGAGTTGGACAGATTTAAAAATTTGTGAACTTAGTAAAATTGTGCTGGCCTTAGTGCAGCCCCATTGCTTTAGCTCAAGGGTGCTTTAACTTTCATCACTACTGTGGATCCCTAAATTCTTTTCGACAGACTTCACAACATGATAGGTCTCTCCAATACTGTTTTAACAGGTTCAAATTCTGTTCTCACTGAATTTTATGTAAGCATGGATGAATGTTATTCTACTAGCTATGAAATTAATTATGGTGTTCCTCAAGGTTCAATTTTAGGTCCTGCGCATTTTAAATTATATATACTACCACTTATACAAGGCATGAGGAGGCATGGCATCGAGATCCACAGCTATGCTGATGACATACAGTCATACATTGCTGTGTCTCATGGTGACCCAGGCTAATCACTGCCATTTTTAACTGACTGTTTACTTTGACTGTTTTTCTTGAAATATCAAGTCAGCTATGGCAGAGAATTTTCTGCAGCTCATTTTATGAGTCATCTTGAATTCAAGTCTCAGTTTTGAGCTTCACATTAGCCAGTACAGAAATGCTACTACATGTTTTTATTACCTGCAGAATAGTCTGACTCAGCAGATGCACACTGTGAGTATAAACTTGCCGTTGGCCACTCATTTCAGTTGGCTTTC